GCCGATAGAAATAATTCGTTTCTCGAATCATTCGACTCCACCGCATTCCATGTAAATTGGACACGCGCGCCTGCAGCATGACGAGTTAGAAACGCGCTCGCTCTGTTGGAAATAAACACCTGCTAATGTCCATTAGTCAATTCTTCTTGGCTGCAGATTTTTTCGGTGTCCGGTACGTGAACGGTTTAATGATATGGAAGCGAGCGTTATACTTTTATTATACACGTGCCGAAATCGGTTCGACACACCGATCGGTCGTGTTTTTCCGATTATTCACCGCCTCGAGTGGCCGATCGAGGGGCTCGTTTCTTCCATCCGTCGAAACGAAAGCGGATTAATAAAACCTACAACGCTACCGGTGTTGGTCGAAAAATGGCCGGCGGACATTTTCGAAAGAACCGATCGGATATCTACGCTTCTGATTTATCAGGAACCAAGTTTCGAATCACCGCGGGTGAAAAAGAAAAGAAACGCGATCTTTCTCGAAGGCTGGAATGGAAAAAATACTTTGCCCTACGGTATTGCGTGCGAATAATTGACGTACGAAAGGTCGCGTATATCGTTGCTTTCTCGCGGTGCGAACAACTGCAACGCAATAAGATCACCGGAGCTTTTTGTCGTCGAAAAAAACCTGGCACGAACCAATCGATTCTTCGAACTACGCGACGTGTCTCGAGAAATCTTGTTGCCACCGTGCTTCTCGAATACGTATCGATGAAACGTTGCATTGTTGGTGAAAATTGCGATGTGCTTGATACGATATGTACAACAGTCTCGAATACAGTTCTCTTTGTTTCACTCCTTCGTTTTACCGTAAAATTGCAGGAATCTGAAAATCCTGAGAAAAGAGGAAAAGGAATTATTTATCGTTTCTATTTATTATTAATTAATTAAGACGACTTTTTTAAATTCTTTTTATCATAAATTCATTTCATTAAGGATGTTATTTTACGTTTACAAAATATTCTACTTTTAAAATAAAAATCGATGTAAAACAATTGAAAAGTAAAATATTTAAATTTTCAGCTACTCACGTGTATGAACACTATTTGCTATACACTTCTGTTATATCACTTATCAATCTTTATCATTAAATTTCCAATTTTCAAATAAATCGCTGATATTATGATTTAAAAGATAAAATTATTGAAATAGATAAATAAGGAAAACTTGGGTGTTAGTAAATTGTAATACTTATTGCACAAAGTTGAAGCTCATTTATTAAATTATAAGCAATTTGAGTTTGCGTTAGAAAAAAGATGGAGATAGCTGTGTCTCGTTTCGTTTAGATTTCAATTGCTTATAATTTAACAAATAGACCTTGACATTTTTATTGTATTAACTTTTATGTTTCTTCTTTTAGCCTTTAAAATTAACCCTCTAAAGTGTTTTACGAATTAAGATTAAGCATTTTTTTTGTTAAATTTAAAATAATAATTCCTATACAAGGCCTCTCGTCAGCGACTTTCTTCATATTAAAATGGCTAACATAGAAACAAATGATAGCATTCGCACGGCAGCTATACGAGTCATTCGTTCGCAATAGATTGAACAAGGACAGTACCATGAAATTAGATGTTGCATATCTTACGACCGTGCATATGCATATGAGTCATTTTTGAAAGTGACACAGCTAAGTCATTTTTATGCCGATTTAAGATATTAAATGTTTTTGTGTTTTAATGTTCATACAAGTATCTATGCCTATTATTTATATTTTTCTCGATATA